GCGTCGGTGCGCGCCCGGGATCCGAACCCGGGCCGCCAGTAGCAGAGTGCGCGCACTTAACGGCTAAGCCACGGGGCCAGCCCAATGAGTGTGGATTTTATCCCACGTGTGGTGTGAAACCATAGGCAAGTTTTGAGCAATGTATATCTAATGTATTTTTTAAAAAGATCACTCACACTGTTGTGTGAAGAAGTAAATGTGGGAGCAGCCAGAGTAGAGGCCAGGGGAGAGTTGGGAGGCCCCTGCTGCACTTTGGGAGAGAGATGACGATGGATTGGATCAGGGTGGTAGCAGTGGTCAGATTCAGGATGGAGTCTGAAGGAGGAGTTGACAGGACTTCTGACAGATTGGATGTGGGATGTGAGACAAAGAGAGTCAAAGGTACTCCTAGATCTTTGACCACTTTCTGAGATGAGGAGGGGGCAGGGGTGAGTGTGTGTGTTTTGGGGTAGAGGATAGGAATTCTTCTTCGGCCATGGTAAATTTGAGATAACATCAAGTATAGGTGGCAATCTGATCTATGCCATCTGTTAGATGTGTCAGGAACTCAGCAGAAAGGCGAGGGCCAGAAATAGAAATGTGGGAGTCATCAGAATAGAGATGAGATTTTAAGTCCTGTAACAGGTCAAAGACCAGCAATCTGTCTAAGTTGAGATCGCCTAGAAACTAAGTGAAGATGATGAGAAGAGGGCCCAGTAATGAGCTTTGGTGTTCTTCAACATTCAGAGGACAGAAGAGGGCCATCTTATATGAAGAGGGTGTTATTTTAGAGTTAATAATGTTTATCATTTGACTCATTACACATGTTCATATTAAATGAACATATGATGTTATGATGTTAGAGATAATGTCCCATCTCCTTATTAATCCTTATTTTACAAATGAGGATTTTCTCTTTGCATCTGCTGGCCTCCTAGGGGAGAGGGTACACTCTCATCTGTTCTCAGTCTAGTGTGGCAGACCCGAACTTTTGTTTGAAATGAGAGAAGGTCTCTTTTGGGATGAGTTCACCTTTGGAACCCCCAATATACCTTTTTTATTCTTGATTACATTTAAAGTTGAAACCAAAGACCATAAGTTTGAAGCAGAGATTAATGAGAAAACTATGGGAAAAAAAAATTTAATAAGCTCTTGAGAATACACAGCACTGGGTCAACAATTACCTACCATTTGTTTAGACAAGTGGTTCTCAAACTTTTAGGTTTCCGCACCCATTATACTCTTAAAAATTATTGCAGACCCTATCAAGCTTTTGTTCCTGTTTGTTGTATCTCTCAATATTTACCATATTAGAAATTTAAACTGAGAAAAAAATTTAAAACTCAAGAATACAAGTCCACATTCCATTAAAGGTCAGAGTAATGATGTCACTACACTTCACATTGCTTCTGGAAAACCCCATTGTACTCTCATGAAAGCATGAGAATAAAAAAGGCAAATAGTATCTCAGTAACATTATGAAAATAGCTTTGACCACATGCACCTCTGAAAAAGACTTGAATACCCAGGGGTCCCCAGACCACTCTTTGAGAATTACTCGTTTAGACTAATAAAGAAAGAGCATGTATTTACATACCAATCACCATAACCTTCAAATGAAGTCTATACTTATTCTGTATCTTGTCATCATAAAATTGAGTTTCTGTTTAAGTCTGTTTACTTAAAGGGAACTAAGAGCTTTTCTGCAATTTTTAAAGGTTTCTTTTAATGTTCCAGAATTGTTGGCTTATACTCTTGCTATCATTAATGTTGGTTATGGAAATTACATTTGTTAGACTCTGTTTTGTAGAAAACTATGTGTATTCATGTAAAGTGGTAAACTATGTTTGTCACAGGAGGTGGAATTTACCCTCCACTATTAAACTGGTGAGAACCAACCTACTAGCTGTGACTTAACTCATCTAGTTCCAGGCAATTCAATCAGAATAAAAGATTACGCAGATTTGCTTAGAATTAGGAACACTAAGGGCATTCCTCCTTGTGAAAGAGTTCTTTTTTTGAGTAAAATAAACAAATGACTGTTACAGATTAACTTTAAAACACAATGGAGAATCTCAATTTTCCATGCCATTCTGTCACCCTGTCTACACCACTAACCAAGAGCATGAGGCAAATGTAAGTCACAGTCCCCTCATCAAAAAAGTTAGATCTCCAATAGGGCGATTCTTTTGTTTCTGATCTAACTTAATCATTTGTTGGTTGTATTTAATATAATTACATTCTCCTCTCTTTTTTTTTTTTTTGTGGTGAGGAAGACTGGCCCTGAGCTAACATCCATTGCCAATCTTCCCCTTTTTGCTGAGGAAGATTAGCCCTGAGCTAACATCTGTGGCCATCTTCCTCTATTTGTATGCGGGATGGCGCCACAGCATGGCTTGAAGAGCGGTGCGTAGGTCTGCACCCAGGATCTGAACCTGTGAACCCTGAGCCGCCTAAGCAGAGCATGAGAACTTAATCACTGTGCCACCGGGCCAGCCCTTCTCCTCTTTTTTTTTTTTAATAAATGAAAAAATATACCATCAGTTGCTTGCCTTGACTTAGAAACAAATATTCACAATCAAGGTATTTACCAATTCCTCTTGCTCCTCCTGCAAAATAATACTACCACCACCGCATACCCTCTGTGCCAACCTCCCTCCACATTTTATTCTTGTTTCTCAGGGTTTTTTGTTTAATACTTGTCATCAAAATCATTTCCATTGTATCTCAATTTTGCACATGAAATTTATACAGAGGCCACGGAAATTGGTGTGATAGGAGGCTTCAGGAGTCTTCGGTGGTCTATTATAATTTATCTAGAACAACTTTTCTCACAATGTGGTTCTCAGGCCACCAGCATCAGAATCACCTTAGCCTGCTGAGAATGCAGATTCCAGGACCCAAACTAGAGCCCATCGGATGAGCCAGCCTGGAGCTGGAGCCTGCAATTCTGTGAGCAGAAGAAAATGAGAATCTCTGGTCTATAGTAGATCTTACATCAACCAGCCTAATTTCCTGCTGCTTTTAACTTCGGAGAGATTGCCTTTAAACGATCCCAAAGCAATACCTATGAACCTCTTTCAACCCCAGAAATTCTTCCTAAGTTTACTTATAAATCCCTCCTGTTGATTGGGTGGGAATCCTACCATAACATCTTACTTTTTGGTGGAAAGTGCTTTTTCTCCATGTGAACAAGGAGACTCAGCGTGACCCAGAAGCTCCTGTCACTGTCGGGAACAGGTTCTTTGATTTGGGTGTGAGTAAAGGACTTATAGGCACCACTGAAATGCCTCTTTTGAACTCGCAATAAGCTGACTTGATTGCTTCTTTCCACCAAGCAGTGGGAGTCACGCTTTTCATTGATCTCCTCCAGGAGATGTTGTTTATTTGCTTTACGGTTTTTAGTGATTTCACTAGTTCTTTTTATAGATGCCATTGTGTTGACAAATCAGTCATCAACTGATTCTTGCTGTCCTGTAAACAAATGAAAAAATACTCTCAGTTGCCTGCTTGACCTAGAAGCTGGTATCCACAATCAGGTATTTACCAGTTCCTTTCTCCTGCCAAATACCACCACCACTGCGCCCCCTGCCCCACAACTCACTCCCTTTTTTATTACTGTTTCCTAAGGTCTTTTTGTTTTTTGATGTTTCTTCAGGAAAAAAAAGTTCAAAGGAAGAGGGTATAGTAAGAGAATATATTTTGTTTTTGACACTAATACTGTGCATTAATTCTTGCTTTTAGGAATTTTCCTTGTTTCTTCTGATTATAAAAATAATATATATTCATTGTAGAAAATGTCAAAAATACAGAAAAGCATAAAGTAGAAAAACTAAAATCACTCTTGATCCAGAGACAACCAAATTAACATTTTGGATGTTTCTTTCCCAAGAAACATCCAAAGGGATTTCATTACAAAAGGTACAGAAAAATACATTACATTGGCTATGGTAGAACATAAATTTAAAAATGTATAAGTGATGTTAAGAATTTCAGAAGAGCTTGCTTGTGAGGGCTGTAAATTTGTTTTTTCAGGCATTTGAAGTGCTTAAAAATCAGATATATTACATTTACAAAGAAATTTTAAAGTATTTAAAGAACTTGTATTAACTAAGTTTGTAAATGGAATGATTACCTCTAGTGTTTAGTCTTTTCAACTTGGGTTAACTGAACATTAATTTCAGAAAAAATAAAGGTGATCATTCTTTATACAAAAATAACTCGATTTAGAAATAGAATACAAGAGTCATATGTTGAAATCAAAGATTGGCCGACAGGTTTTTAATGTTTTAATTTTAGAAAACCAGTATTAATTTGAAATCCAAATAACTATAAATAGTCCTTTCTACACACAAAGGCTCCTCTCAGACATTAAAAAACAATCTCACATTAACATTTTATATAGGTGAACAGAACTTCCACTTAAATGACTATAGTCATTTAAATATAGATTTAAATATAGATTATTCAGACAAACCTCCCAGTGAAAACTACTAAAAGCGCTAGAGGAAAATATTTTTAAAAATTTGTTGATAATAAAATGACAAGAGAGTAAGGAAATATTAGGCCCAAAATGAAGAGAAAGCAAGAACAAGGACCTAGAGAAGTAAACAGAATCTGTGCTTTCCCTGAGGACATTTTCAGATCCCAGAGGGTTAGAGAAGAGGACAGAGAGCACAAAAATCAAAGCCCAAAGCCTATGCACAGTGGAGAGTCTAAAGTAGACCTTTTTCGGGCCGGCCCCGTGGCTTGGCGGTTAAGTGCTCGCGCTCCGCTGCTGGTGGCCCGGGTTCGGATCCCGGGCGCGCACTGACACACCGCTTCTCTGGCCACGCTGAGGCCGTGTCCCACATACAGCAACTAGAAGGATGTGCAGCTATGACATACAACTATCTACTGGGGCTTTGGGGGAAAATAAACAAATAAATAAAAATTATAAAGTAGACCTTTTCCATATTAAGTTGGGACCCAAAGTGTTACCTGCTCAGGGTAAGAGTGAACCAGAAATAAACTCATATTCCATCACCAATTTGCAGGGAGAGTGTTGCCTTAGCATTAATCACAGTTCTGGGGGAAAAAAATCCCTCCATCAAAAGTTATAAGCACTAGCTGACTCTTGTATGCATTTTCAGCCCAAATTCACAACCAGGGTGGTTACAAGAAATGTCAGGGTGAGAAACAAGGGTGGTTATGTTACTGAACCTCTTAATTTCTTTTTTTTTTTTAAGATTTTATTTATTTATGTTTCCCCCCCAAAAGTCCCAGTAGATAGTTGTATGTCATAGCTGCACATCCTTCTAGTTGCTGTATGTGGGACAAGGCCTCAGCATGGCCAGAGAAGCAGTACGTCGGTGCACGCCCGGGATCCGAACCCAGGCCGCCAGCAGCGGAGCGTGCGCACTTAACCACTAAGCCACGGGACCAGCCCTGAACCTCTTAATTTCAATTTCAAGTGCCCAATGCTCAGTAAGCCAAATACCAAGACATCAGTGCTTGGAGATAAAGTTTTATTTGAATTGGCCAAGACGAGAAGACGGGGGCATGGGTTCTCTCAAATCTGCCTTAACAAGAGAAGAAAATAGGGGATTTTATAGAACTAAGGGGTGTGGCAGGAGGTGTTTCAGAGGAAAAAAAGGGTAATCCGTGTTTCTTTCCTCCCGATAAGCCCCTGGGCAATCTGACTTCTAGGCATCAACAGCAGCTGGGGGCACATTATCTGGTGATCCTTGAAGGCATTCTCTTTTTTCTGTAAAACAAGCTCATAAATCTTTGTGACCCTTGAGTTCCTCCTCAAGTTAACCAGGAAAACAGCAAATTGACAAGATTAACTTCTTCTCATAACAAGGTCAAAAGGTAATCTTATTGAATATTTACAGTAACCCTCAGGTACCCAGCTGAAACCTCAAGCTCAGAATTTACCTGAAGGGGTTCCAGGCTAAGAATATATCCAAGTGCCTGACAGAAGCAGGCTCAAATCTTTTCTGGAAGAACTTCATCCTAGGCCTCTGGGAATCCCCAACAATACTTTTTCAAAGATGACAAATAGCACATAGCTGAGGATAACTACTCAAGCACACAAGTAAATAAGGCATTGTGAAGTGAGAACAGTAGAAACAAATCCATGAAATCAACATACATTAGAAGCATCAGATTATAGAACAATTATGCATACTACACTTAAAGAAGTAAGAAAACAAGTTTGCAACTATCTTCAGAAAACAAGAAACCAAAAGAATTTCTAGAAATTAAAAAATGTTATTAAATAAATTTAAAACTCATTGTATGGGGGGCCAGCCTGGTGGCACAAGTGGTTAAGTGTGCATGCTCCACTGCGGCGGCCCAGGGTTCGCCGGTTCAGATCCCAGGCGCACACCCACGCACTGCTTGTCAAGCCATGCTGTGGTGGCGTCCCATATAAAGTAGAGGGTGATGGGCATGGATGTTAGCTCAGGGCCAGTCTTCCTCAGAAAAAAGAGGAGGATTGGCATTAGATGTTAGCTTAGGGCTGATATTCCTCACAAAAAAAATAAATAAATAAAACTCATTGTATGGATTTAGCAGCAGACATGGATTCAGATGAAGAGAGAATTAGAGAACTGGAGGAGAGATCAGAAGTAATTATCCTGAATGCAGCACAGAAGAACAAAAAGATAGAAACTATGAAAAAGTTAAATATGTGGGGACACAGTGAGAAGGTAAAACCTATGTGGATGTCCAGAGGAGACGAATGAGGCAGAGGCAAGATTTAGATAGATGTTTGAGAAATATCCAGAACTGATGAGTGGTACCAGTCCATAGACTCAAGGAGCTCATAGAATACAAGTCAGGATTTTTTTTAAATCTACATTTAGATTACAGTGAAATTTGAAAAACACTAAAAATATTAAAAGCCATCAGAGAATAAAAGGAGGGGCAGTTTGACTAATAGCTGACTCCTCAACAAGCAACAACTAAAGGCATAAGACAGAGAAATTATATTTTCAATGTGCTACAGAAGTTATACAGATGGTAAGTCAACACATAAGAAGATGCTCAGCATCATCAGTCGTAAGGGAAATGTAAATCAATACTACGATGACATACCACTACATACCACTAGAATGACTGAAAGTAAAAAGATTGGCTATATCAAGTACTGGTGAAGATGTGGAAGAACTGGACCTCTCATACCTGCTAGTGAGAATGTAAAAAGGTAAAACCGCTTCAAAGAAAACAGTTTGGCAGCTTCTTAAAAAGTTGAAAATATACCTACCATATGGTCCACTCCTAAGTATTTACTCAACAGAAATGAAATTCTCCATACAGTGTATGAAGAAATTATTTGTACATTCAAAAACTTGTACATGAATGTTCATCACAGCTTTTTTTAATGAGTGAAAGTACTACCAACCCAAATGACCATTAACAGCAGAATGGATAAACAAATGGTGGTAAATCCATGTAATGGATACTTCTCAGTTATAAAAAAGCAATGTACTGGGGCCGACCCGGTGGCGCAGTGGTTAAGTGCGGGTGCTCCACTTTGGCAGCCTGGGGTTTGCAGGTTTGGATCCCAGGTGCACACCGATGCACCGCTTGTCAAGCCATGCTGTAGTGGTGTCCCATATAAAGTAGAGGAAGATGGGCACGGATGTTAGCCGAGGGCCAGTCTTCCTCAGCAAAAAAAAAAGAGGAGGATTGGCATCAGATGTTAACTCAGGGCTGATCTTCCTCAAAAAAAAAAAAATCTTACAAGTATTTATGCCTGCAGAAAATAGTTGTCCCTGAACAGAAGGAAATGCTTTAAGGGAGAATAGGAATTCTGGACCTTTTTCCCCCTCCTTCTTTCCAGAGCCACGAGGAAGGCTAGGATTTTCTGAAAGATGGTAAAGAATCGTCTCAGGCAGTTATTGCCGCAATAATGAGGCAAAACTCAGTGTCATACAACAATAAACGTTTATTCTCGAGCTCCGTAGTGGATTGACGGATCTAGGCTGAGCTCACCTGAGAACTCGGCTTCAGGCTGAGAGTCTGGTCGGGCTTGCTCCCTGCTGAGAGTTGAGCTTAGGTCTGCTCCCAAAATTTTAGGACTGGGAGAAACAAGAAAAGCTATTTTTCTCTAATCCAATGTCTCTGACAGAATCTAACTCTCCTATTCTCATTTTGTTTCTGGGAATTTTAATAATATAAGAGAAAAAAAA